TGTAATACGCTGTCTATTTTTCTCTCTCCACACCCTGGCTGCTACAGGAAAATGAGCTTTTATTGGTCCCCGATGGCCTGGTCTCATATCCATTAAACTGAATAAGTATCTGAAATAGCCCTTGTAGTAAGCAGTATGATGCAGGATTCCCTACCACAGCAGCTATCAGTGCATCCGCTAGATCAATCAGCGGTGTAGCCCACACTCCCTCAGGGTGACCTTATGTTATGTCTTTAAAAAATATGAAACTCAGCACCATTCAATGATACTCTGTAGGTTTTCTAAGTTTGCTTAGTCATTAACATTTCATGGAATTATACGCAAGACATTTAAAATGAATTTTCGGGATGTTTTTGAGACATTCCTGCAGAGTGAACATTAGTGAACATTATGGCAGCAAAGTGCTAGACTACTATTGGCTTCTTCCGTTTAAATGAATACCGGATCTAATTTCAGATGTAAATTTGATGAAAGGAACCAGAAAAGAGATCCAAAAATGCTAAAAATGGTATAAGGTTTAAAAAAAGGAATAGGAGAATGCAGTATTGTAGTCTGGTTGACAGTATACAGTGGGTCCAAAAGACTGAGCTCATGAGAATCTAATTTAAATCTGACCATAAACCATTTTAGGACAAATAAACGTTATGATAGGGATGCACGACTAATCAAAATAAAATCCAAATCTTGATTTGGCTTAGTGTGATTATCAATTCGCAAAGGATGCAATATTGTCAAATAAATATTTGTGCGCAAACCGTTCATGATACAGTGTTTTCAGTGCCTCAAAGTGGCTCGGTTCACAGTAAATTCCACACAAAATCCTCTCTGCATCTGGGACATCGGATTAAATTTTCACTTTTTTTCAGCTTTTTTGCATTCAGTTAGGTTTCTGGCATGTCTGCCAGCTCAGAAAATCTGAAAAGAAAACACGCAGCCAGATTTTTTTTTATGAGTCTGAAACTGTTATCCAGTGATCTGCTTCAATTTGCAGCTGCTTTCTACATATATAGCTAGCTATTTAAATAAGACCACCTCCAAGCCATATTCAGAGTCCAAGGCAGCAATTCATGTGTCTTGTGTCGACACGCCCCACGGAAGAGAGGGGTGGGGTGAGCAGTAGCTCATTATCATTTAAAGAGACATGCATCGAAACGGCTCGCTGTGAGCAGAGCTGTTTTTGACTAGGTAAAAAGGGTGTTGTTTTACACGACCATTCAGGAATTTTAACCAAAGTATGTTACAGACATTTCATGAAGACCCTAAAGAATCATACCAACATGTGGAAAATGGGCATCCGATGTCCCCTTTGAGTTTGCATCACAATAACGTGCATTTAGGAATGCAACATGCACCAACCATCTTCCCATCAGTTTGTAAATGAATTAAGGCAGTCTTAAATATTAGTATTGTAATTTTACAGGTGTACTGTAAAATAAATTATTTTATTTTTATTATATATTTTTAATACTCTTTTTATTTTATAGTAACAATAGTACAATAGTAATATTACTACAATAGTAATATTTCTTGTTTTGTTTAATAATTTAATTATTAATATTATTATTTTTTATAGACATGTTGATAAATAATCACAAGTGCAATCACAATTTTTATCAGAAAAATCACAATTTCCCCCCCCAAATTATGCTGCCCGAAGTTATGACGTAAAATGAATAAGATATTTACGTGTTTGCACGATTTCTAGGTCACTAATCAAATAAGTAAATATGTGACTATTTGTACAGATGGTCAGAGGTTCTTGCTTCCACTGAAGCTCAAGATGCTGTTTGGATCATCTCAAATCATGCTGGAGAACACTAGGTTTTTTTACAATCTTATGGAGTTCATGCAGCTTGAGAATTACTGTCATTAAAGCAAAAAGAGAACAAATACTACAACAAATTAATGTAATTTTTCAATTCAGCTATAATGAAAAAAGTTGTAGTAAATTTGAAATAATACAAAACAGCAGCTTTTTCACTATGGTCTCAGACTTTTGGACCCCAGTGTACAGTATTCATGCGTGCGCGCGCGCGCACATACACACACACACACACACTGACATAAGGTTCAGTTAATGAAAGCTGCTTGACAGTGCTTTACCACAGCTCTAAAAGTCCTCTGACCCCCTGTTTGATATGTTGAGTAGTTAGGAGCCACACGGAGGCCTATACGAGATAACGTTAAGCCCCTGAGGTTCAGCAATCAATTTCAAATTTCAATAGATCAAAGAGGAAACTGGGTCTGTCTTATGTAATTAAGACTAGGCATTAAAGAAAACAAACCCCTGTGAATTCTGACTGAAGCCCCACTGGGGAATGGAGTATTTTTCATAATTAAAGAAGCACAAACAAGGCCTACTCAACAATCCACAATAGTTCTCAGTGGATCATTAAAGTTTCCTGATTTACACAATGCTATTTGTCTGTCTGACTCCTCGAAGCCAAACCTAGTTACAGTACGGCCATGACTGACTGGAACTGTGTTGTTAGCAGGTGCACATAATTGTGTGCCATTTTCCCTACTGGATCCGAATCAATTTCGACCCCTTAGGACTGTAAGAGTACTAGGATGGAAAACCACTTTTCCCTGGAGTGAATATGAAGATTAATTTTTTTAATTCTGTATTATTTCTTATATTATTTTTACATATAAAATTACGCAATTTTGTAGGTCGTGCCATGGTGTGTATCCATTATAAAATTGTTGCTACATAAAACTACTTAAACACTAAAAAAATTGAACGTCATTTTATTTATATAAAAAAAAAAAACGACATTTTATCAAGCAAATTCATTAGGTGCCATATCCTTCCGCTGTACTATAAGCTAGTCCCTGACGACTAGCTTGCTGGTACTAAAGTTTAAAAAAAAATTAAGCCAAAAATGAAAATGATCATTTACTCACCCTCATGTTGTTCTCAATCGAGAGGACTTTCTTTCTTAATCGTGTGCTGTATTCCTGGTCTTCTGAAGTCATACGATAGATTTGTGCGAGAAACAGAGTGAAATGCAAGATGTTGTATCTGATTTCATGTGATTATGTATTTAAATTATGCATGAATGTTCCCAAACACGATGACAGTGCGATGTCTGTGTGAGATATGTGATTGTTGTCATATTTCTATAAAAATCTAAAATACATGTTTGTATTAAAGTAAAAATGGATGAGAAATACACCTTTCGTATGGAATTAAATAGCAAGCACTTTGAGTGTCTTGTTCATCATATTTATTTTCGTATAAAAGTATCAGAACTGTAATTATATAATGTTTATAAGCAACACAGCACGTGAGTGAGAATAACGCGATAGCTGCCTTTGATCTCGTAGGTATCTGCTCCACTTCGAGAGGTCAGAACTGTCCGTCTTGACTGCGTTTATTTCACTCCTCCCCTCACTGCAGCCGCCTACTCTCGCCTACATTTCAGGCGAGGCGAGTAGCATCTCAAACAAGCCTAATCACTTCTATGTAAAACAAAACAACAAAAAAAGATTGACCAGGATAATCTCAGAAATAATTCTACGGATAAACAGAAGTCATACTGGTTTGGGAAAAAATGACAGAATTTTCCATTTTGGATGAATCTCTTTATTGGTCTCTGTTGGTGTTTTGCACTGATATAAACAGTACTCTTAGTCTTAACTATTTTATCAGTTTTATGAGAAGTAGAATCATTTGATTCACCTGTCCACACATATCTGTTTTTGACACAAATGTACAGTGCATGCTACTTTGAAACAGTAGAAAGTCATCCCTTTGCTGTTCAGTATATTTACTGAATATCTTTGTTAAAATAACTCTATTCAAGAATCTATTGTAACCTTGAATTCAGAGAGCACTGCAGATTGGTGCTCAGTTTAGTGATGAATAGGTCCAATCTGCTCATGAACTGAAGATTTTCTATCTCTATCTGATATATCTATCTCTAAAGGCTGGATTAGCATAGTGTTTGGTAATATCTCACTGTGAATACAGGAATTTACAGGCTGTCATTCTTAAAGGACTTCCGTTTATGTCAGATCACTCATTGTTAAAGTGCTCTTAGGCAAATTACAGCAGCCACCCAGACCTTTCTGTCCCTTTATCCTGATCCTACAGAGCCTTTTCTCGGCTTTATTATCATGATTGTTAGAATTTACAATATTGGCAGAGCATACTGCTCTACCAAAATAGACAATTCAGAAAATACATAAGGTAAAATAAAGAAAGAAATAAAGGGGGAAATAAAAGAAAGGGACAATGAATACATAAAATGAAAACATAGAAATGTCAAGTGAATAAGAAAGGACCGAACGGGGGAATTAAAAAAGGGTCAAGAGAAAAAAATAAAAAAAGTAAATAAAGGAATATTAAATTTTAATGGGAACATAAATGAAAGGAAAAATAAACTGAATGGGAATATAAAAGAAAAGGACAAGTAGAAAACAAACAAAAAGTAAAGAAATAAAGTTAATATAGGGCAATATAGGGAAAGCAAAAGGAATAGACCAGGAAAACATAAAAAAATAATGTTATGTAAATAAAGAAATATAGGAAATGAAGGGGAACTTTTAAAAAGGGACAAGGAAGAAATATAAAATAATAAATTAAGTAAATAACGGAATATTTCAAAGTGAAAATAAAAGAAAGGAACTAGTAAGTTAAATCAAAAGAACTGAATGCAAAAATAAAGGAAAGGGACAAGGAAAAAAATAACAGCAAAAAAATGAATTAAACAATAGAATTTAGATCTAAAATATGGTGTATATACCTGTACAAAATGTATCTCATCTCTAATATATATCTCACTCCCTCTTCTCTTTTCTCTTCTGCTTCTAAAACACTACCTCATCCTCCCTAAAGAGTGTCTGAAGTGTCTACATTGAAATGCATGATGAATTATGTGGCAATATAAGGGGACCATGAAAGATGACATGCATGAGATAATGATTGCAAATGTTGATCCACATGGCGAGTCAGGAGATTTTGTTTGTTTACTAATGGCTTTGTCTTTTGACAGAAGGAGGGACATGCGAGGTGATTGCGGCACACAGGTGCTGTAACAAAAACAAGATTGAAGAGAGATCTCAGACAGTGAAGTGCTCCTGTTTACCAGGGAAAGTGGCAGGAACCACCAGGAATAAACCCTCCTGTGTTGATGGTAAGTGAATAGACATGGATGAAGTCTTAAAGGACTTAAAGGCATTCAATTCATGAAAAAATGTAACTTTGCTAAAAATGTACTCGCCTTCAGGTCATCCAAGATGTAGGTGAAGATTTGTTTCTTCATCGGGGCAGATTTGGAGAAATTTAGCATTATCACTTGCTCACCAATGGATCTTTTGCAGTGAATGGGTGCCGTCAGAATGAGAGTCCAAACAGCTGAGAACTATATCACAATAATCTACAAGTGATCATGTGGATTATTGGATTATTGTCTTGTGAAGCGAAAAGGTGCATGTTTGTATTAAACAAATCCATCATTAGGACGTTTTTCATCATTAAGTCCACTATGCATAATATTGCTTTCTCCAGTGAAAAAGTCGTCTCATCTGAATCAGGAGAGAAATATGCACAGATCAAGCACAATTTACAAGTGAAAACAGTCCAAAACAGTTCTAAACAAATATGTATGTTGGTGTATTTTGATGTGAGAGGACAAGGGAACAGAGTCGCGTGACAGACACAGTGATGAAGCTGGTATGTGTTAGCAGTACACAAGCCATGGCTAAGACAGCTGACTCCACTTTGATGTGACGCTGTCTCTCTCTCACTCCAAAGAGAAAGGAAAACTTGAAATCGCATCATATGACCCCTTTAATGTAAAAGCTTTTCCCATTAATTGATGGACTGGAGGGATTATTGTGATGTGTTTATCAGCTGTCTGGACTCTCGTTCTGATGGCACCCATTCACTTTGGTGAGAATGAGTGATTTAAAGCTAAATTTCTCCAAATCTGTTCTGATAAAGAAACAAAGTTGTGTACATCTTGGATGTCCTTCATGTTATGTTGTTAGAAATGTAACAGATGCTCGACTGTTTTGAACCATCTCAATGTAGCTTTGCCGTGTTTGAACAGGCTTGCACAGTGCAGCTGTGCATAAACACACTCTGTAGAGCTACGTAAAGCTCCAAAAGACTGTATAGCTTTTTAAAGGTGGTATGTTTGAAGAAACTCTGTTCAGGGTCGCTCTTGCAGTGTCCCTGCCCTAGAAAAGCTCAGATCCTCAGGGCTTTTCATTATTAATGCTCTGTCCTTATGACAAACGAGCTGCTGTAAACTAACACTTCTGGAAGAACATCTCACTCGCAACGCACCCGCAGATAATCAAAGCACATTAAATTTGACTGAATCTCATGGAGGAGCATCCAACCTTTTCCCCATGTCAAGCTTGTTAGGATATTCTTTTCCTCAAGGTAAATTGTGTCGTTTTTGGATATTAAAACACCTAAATGCCCAGCTTGAAGGGAATCAATCAACATCATTTACGTCATGTTGTTCCAAACCTGTATGACTTTCTTCTGTGGAAAGGAGATGTTAAACAGAATGACTGCCTCAGTCACCATTCACTGTCATTGTATGGAAAAAAAGATGAATTGAAAGTAAACGGTGACTGAGGCTGTATTTCTTTAAATGGCAAGGGTTAAATCAAGGGCTAGCATCATGATTTAATAAAATAATCCTTTACAAACATTGCAAGACATATAAATATATATGCAGTTGCTGTTTCCCTCTTTCTAGGCTGCAATGTGTTGTCTATTCTGTAGAGGACTAATAAAGCCCAGAGGCAGAGGTGTGTGTCTGGAAGTGATTTTTGTTCCTGATATTTGTGTGTGTGTGTGTGTTTGTGTTTTTCCAAACATGTTATTTCTGTAGTTGCTATTTTACAAAAAAATACACAAGGATGGTCTGCACTCAAAAGTATTGATTTATTTAAAGCAACAGGGGGAAAACACAGACGTTTAGTCCAAAGTTGCCTTAAGTTACTTGGAACTTTATGTTGTTGCTGTTTTACCTTAAAAAATGCAGTTTCTGCCAAGAAAGTAATTAAAAAACAACGACAGAATGATTCTGGAAGCTTTAACCACTTTTTGAAGGAAATTCCATATTAATGTTTTAATGATTTGAAATAGTAATTTTAAATGAAGTTGTAATATTTTAAATACATTTATTAAAGTGATAAATAAAAAATAAATGTATTAATTTTGTTTTCCGGCATGAACTGAAGTAAAAATAGGCTAATATTTTATATATAGAGTTTCTGCCAAGTTATTAAAAAACAACGTCAGAAAGATTCTGGAAGCTTTAACCACGTTTTTGAAGAAAATCCCATATATTTTTATGATTTGAAAGTAATCATGAACAATTAATAATCAGCTATCAGTTAAATAATCAGCAGTGTTGGGACGGTTACTTTGGAAATGTAATAGGTTACAGATTACAAGTTACCCTATTTAAAATGTAATAAGAAGTGTTTTCAATTACTTTATTAAAGTAATGTAACTGATTACATTTGATTACTTTTTGATTACTTTTCTACATTTCTAATGAATGGTTTCAACTGTTAATCATTTTAATCATTTAAAGCAGGCAGCATTAACCTTACAGTAGTGCTCAACACTGATTACTGTCAGACTTTTAAAATCCTCAAAAATCCACTTGTCCTCACTAAGATAACAAAAAGATAGTGTGTGTGTGTGTGTGTATGTAATTTAATTACATATTTTTTCCTCAGTAACTGTAACAGATTACAGTTTTTGTAATTAAATTACATAACTCCGTACATGTAACTAGCTACTCCCCAAACTGATAATCAGTAATTCGGTAATTTTCAGTAATTTTAACTGAAGTAATGTTAGCAATTTATATAAATGTATTACATTAATATTTGTATTAATATATTTAGGTTTTGCTGCAGTAACATTAACTTAAGTAACTATTTACATTAATTTCTTAATTACTTAAATTTTTTATGGTATTGAAGCAGTAACATTTAGCAGCAACTAGGATTAAAATGTTACATTTTGTTGCATTTTATGATCTCCGGTTCCTAGTTAAACCGAGATGACACATTTACTGAGGTGTCACTGAGATGATGTCCATTAAAACTGGTCCATGTTCTCATTCTCCTCTCATTCACATTGATATTCTAGGATATGATGCTGAAGGCTAACTCTCTCTCTCTCTCTCTGTCAAAGGAGTACATGACATTGAAGGCTACATGATATGTATGAGATGCTTTGTTTAATTTTTGGAGGATAAGAGGCCTCAGTAAACTGAATTTTTATCCAAAAAACAAAACAAAAACGGAGCTCTTGCCTGAGGTTATGTTTTCCATGGATTTTTTTATTGCTCTCTGGCCTTGGCCATGCTGAACTGGCAAAAATGGGAAGAACAGTGTTAGATTCGCCCTAGCCAGTGCTGTGACTGTGTTGTACATGTGTGCAAAGTCTATAAAGCATCAACATTTGTTCACCCTTTCAAAATATCCATGGAGAAAGTGTTGAGTACAGGGAAATCAAATTTTAATGCCCTATTGGCAAGGAGACAACTATTGGTTGAGTGCTTTTGGGTTTTACTATATTAATGAATATGACTTAAGTTCACCCATTATTATCACCCATTAAATCACAAACTTGTCATGTACTTGTCATAATATTAATAACATAAAAGTGCATGCTTTATATTATATCTTCATGTAACACTCTCTCCAATGTTAGGCAGCATTACCCTGATGCATTAATGTATGATATTCTTGCAAAGATAAGATGTTCTCAAACCCCTGAGCACCTGCTTCATTAATGGTCTCTAACTCTTTCTCTATCTGCTAATGATCATAAATTTCACAAAGTGGGAAAAATGATGCTTCTGTCTCAAGCAACTGAAATAACATAACACTTTCCATTGTAATGGCAGTAAATTGACCTTCATTTTATATAAACATAGAATACAGACCATATAATTGTTTAAAAGATTTCCTAAGACTACAAGGTGAAGTGATTTAAGTGAATGAATCGGCATGGGATTTCATTTCAGAATAATACTTTTCATAAAGTGCTACTCTGTGAAATGGCTTTGCTCCTACTGACCGCAGACATCCACTGAGGCTATTCACGCACATTAGATTCAAGTCAATTTTATTTGTATAGCGCTTTTCACAACATATTGCTTCAAAGCAGCTTTATAGAAAATTGTACCTTAAAGCCCCAATGAACAAGCCAAAGGCGACTGTGGCAAGAACAAAAATCCATAAAATGTTTAAGAGGGAGAAAACTTCCTTGAGAGGAGCCTGGCTGGAAAAAGCCTTCCTCCTCTGACAAAGCACATATTACAATAAATATACATATGACAAATATGATCTAGTTACATATTATGTGTAATAATGTGTGCTTTGTATATGCTATTATGTGTTCATTGAAATAATCTTATTAGTTATTTTAATTTACTTTAAGTTAATAGGGATTGTTTACTCAAAAATGTCAATTTAAATTCCGTCCTCATTTTCTCACCCTTATGTTGTTCCAAACATGTATGACTTACTTTCTTCTGCAGAACACAAAAGAATATGGAAAAGAATAACTTGAAAAAATGTTGATGGCCAAACAATTATCCTCACTATTGACTCCCATTGTATGGACAGAACAAAACATTTGTCAGAATATCTTCTTTCATGCTCCGCATGAAGAAAGAAAATCATGACAGAATTTTTATATAGAAATTAAATTGAATTGAATTTAGACAATGCTCAAATTGTTTAAAGTCTAAATGCTTAAAATCTATCCAAAAACACTTGGAGTAATTAATGAAGCATTCTCAGACATGTAAGTATTATTTGTCAAATGGTCAAGGAGCAGTTGGAGAGGTTTTAAGTCAGATGCGAGTGAGAGTCTAACCCAGTTATGATCTGCTTCCAGCCTCCATAGTGATTGGGAAGTGGTGGTGTGAGATGGAGCCGTGTCTGGAGGGAGAGGAATGCAAGACTCTACCAGATAACTCCGGCTGGATGTGCTACTCCGGAAACAAGATCAAGACCACCAGGGTGAGATTTGGAGCGAGCGAAAGCATTCCTTGTGTTTCTTTAGCTTTTTAACAATACAAGACTCTTGATGGTGAAGTATGTGATTGCATGAGGTTAATAAGGGTTTTTGTGCTCCGTCGTTTTTTGTTTGTTTGTTTTTTGCCTATTTCACTAAAATATTTTATTAATAAAGTACATGATATAGAACAATAAATAAACAACCCTCCTACACCTGAATGGCTGCAGGCAGGTGTGTTGGATGCTGAAAGTATTATAAAAATAGAAGACCTGCACACTGCTGGAGCTCACAAAAAAATCCAATATTTATTAAAATAGCAGCGATTCGGTCATGTAACTTCCCTCAAGCAGAAAATGACACTCTGGCAAATAATCATTGTAAATAAAAGTAGCCAATGAGACTATGAGAGTGTTTCTTCAGGTAGACGATAATTTCTATAAAAGCAGATGTGAATTTTTTTTTCTTTTTTTTTTCCAGAATACCCACCCATACACAACTTTGTAGCAGATGTAAAGTCACTGCAAGCTCATAACGGAGGAACTTAATGAAGGTTTTTGATTTTATTCCTTTTTTTTTTCTGTCACCATTGTGATTCAATGAAGACTAAAAATGGCCGATAGAAAACAGACAAATTACTGATTTCAAAGGCGTAGGCACTATGGTACATTTATGAACTTAGAATAAATTCTGATAATTCGATCCCATTTAGTTAGTCTGTCTGATATCTTGTTGCTAATTATTCAAACATGAAATTCATTCTCAGATTGTTTTCTTATTACTCATCCCTCTTTTATTTACTGTACTTTTTCAGGGAAACATCCAAGACGACAAGCTGAATTAAGTTTTCCCAACTCTAAACCAACAGACATGTGTTTAATGACTTGAAATTGAGTCCTCTGCTCATAAATCCATCTGTCTCTGAGTAACACGGACACCAGACTTTCTGAGAAGATCTTTGTGGGCGTTGAACACTGCTGGTTCTTTCGTTGTTTCATTTTTGTTTGACAATTGTCAAATATTTGTTTCCTCTCAGTGAGTCCTGGATAATTACACTCGTATCCCTTTGTGTGGAGTGCACTCAAACCAGCTATACCTTGCCTGAAATAATCTTCAACTGTAATATTCTTGGATGTTCCTATGTCTCCGGAAGAACATATTAATTCTCGTACTGTATGTAGTGAAACTGGCTTCCTGTTCATGTGGATTTTCAGAAGGGGACTGATCCTCACCAAGCAAGTTTAATTAAGACACTTTGTGCATCGACTGTGAGCAAAATGCTGAGGAGCACATGTACATGGAATGACCGATCCAGTCCAGAATCCAGAAATGTTCCTCTGTTTCCTGGAACATTATATCAGATTCAGAATGAATTCTGGTGGTGATACTAAAACCAAATAAGTCTTTAGCATGATTTCTGTAAAGCTGTACAAATAGGTGAAAGAAATGTTTTACATAAATAAAATGAATTCAAAACAGGTGAGAATGATGTTACAACTGTATTTAATTTAAAATAAACAATAATTTAATGTGAACGTAATGGGTGCGAACGGTGCAAAGGAACATTCTTGTTTACATTTTCTTGTCCACTGTTCTGTTGACTGGTTAAAGATGCTGGGTTTTTTTTAATTATTTTTGGGCTTCAGTAATATTTTGACAAATTGAGTCATCAAGGCTTAACTGAAGTGGTCTGAGAATTTACATGTTTAATGAAAAACTAATAGACCATCAGTTTGACTGCAGCAATATATAAAAGTTGTGGATTTATTACTGAAGTTAATGAAGCCTGATTGAAATATGCTGGTGCATGCACATATAAAATACCATGACATTTAAATATTCTGAATCAAATTCATTTCCCGTTGTTCAAATATAACTTCATTAAATGGTACAAGACCTATTAAGACCATTCTGTATATTGGGGGATCTGGTCGTTTGAATGGACCCCGAGGTAAGCGGGTGGAGGGTCTTTGAATGTGTAGGCATGCAGTCCACGCTGAAGGACACTGTGGAAATTCTGACACCGCTGGGACATTTAATTGTCGTTTACATTCAGAAATAGTCCTCTCTGCTCAGAGCAGCTGAGGGCCAGAGCATGTACTCACTCTGAATATGTAGCTCCAGCATTTTAAGTAGGGAGCCATGAACATAAGAGCCTTGGTGTTGCTGTCGGCATGCAGAAAGGAGGCTCTAACTACAGGCTGAGTGAATACAGATCACTACATTTACAGTCCTCCGCATGGGACAGCAGAGGATGAACTTTAGCCCTCACCTTCAGCGGAGCTTTAGTGGAATTTCAAACAGTTGACTACAGAATATCAGAGTGCAAAAATGAATACAAGGAAACTTAAGCAAATATCAGCATTATCCCTGGCAGGCTGAGCTTTTGCTAGCAGTCGGTTTTTCTAATTTCAGTCTTCAGCATCATTATGCAATAGTTTCATTGCTCAGATTTGATTGGCTGAGCAGCGTTCCATACCAGAAACCCTTTTAAATTCCAAAATAATAGAACATTAAACACTAACAGATCTCCCACTATATTAATATTGAGCAAAACACATGAAATAACACTTAATTTTAAGATTTACTCTCCTTTAACAGTCGGAAGCAAAGCATGCTGGGAACTAGAAATCTGCTGTAACTCATTCTGAGAATGTGTGTGTATATGTGTGTACATACATTCACATTAATATGGGAACACGTATGTGCAATATATGTGCACAATAACGGATAAAACTTTATGAATATTACATGTAATGCTATTTTGTCTTAATTTTCTAAATATTTTTATATGTATCAATATATATGGCCAATGCATATATTGCTGTATATTGAAAAATATAAGCACTAGTTTCCCATATATGGAAATGTATTATGTAATATATTGCATTATATTTAGCAGTGTATTCCTATATATTTTTTGTTTCGTAAGGGAATACTGTGTCTAATATGTAACTTACGCAGATTTCATGTTTCTTGTTTGCTGAACTGTATAAAAGCAGTATTTCCCACTGCAGCCTCGTGTATGTGGATGAATCACAGCACGTCTGCCCGTGTGATATTGCTTCATTAAACACCTACAAATTTTTCTGATTTCTGTCTACTGAACCTGGACATTTTGTCACAGAATTGACCCATTAAAATCATGAAAACTCTCAAACAAGCAATTCCTCCTGTAATTTAAGCACATGTCCATGGATCTTTTTAATCAATGTCATAATTTTTTAAGGGAAAGTGTATATCTGGGTCACCAGTTCTTTAAAAAATATATTTTTTTAATCACATTTTGCCTCCATTAGTTCATGTTAAATGGTTAAATACAGTTGAAACATTCTGTCAGTAATATGAGCTCACCAAAACAGCGTATATAATAATTAGAACAGAAAAAAAGCTGTTAAACACAGTTGGGATAATTAGCATATCACACCACAGGACATTAACCTTCCCGTAGTGTTTCATGTCAATTACCGATACACATACTGTATTTCAGGTTCTCTACCATGTCCTTTTTCCACTTCCAACCTCCAGTGTTTTTTGAAAGGGCAAAGGCATATGCATTGTGAGTTCTTCAGAAAAAGTGTTGGAAAAAACATCACACATACTGATGGTTGCTTGTTGAGCGCTATGAGGTCCAGCAAATGAGGCTATTAAGGATTCAAAGCAGTTTCTGATACAATGAAGCTGCTGGAACTTTGAAGAATAAAAGCAGCGTTGTCCTCCTAACTGCCACGGAGTTGACTGCACTGATATTTGCTCAGAGAGACAATTCTAGGTCTGGGAAGTCTGAAACGCTCCTGTGAGGCACTCTGTCTGCTCTGCAAGTCTCAATGTCATTACAAAAAGTCATTTATATAAAACTTTAAAAGGCCGGCAAATGAGATTGCAAATTGGATCCTTTTGAAAATATCTAGATGGTATTTTTTCTCTGACAGATTCAAAAGAAATACAGAAAACACTAATTGAAATTCTGACCTATGAAATTAAATAATTGATCTTAGAAAGGATAGTTTACCCAAAAAGGACACTAGAGAAAACAATATTATGAATAGAGAACTCATATGTTAGCCGGAAGCAACAGATTGAAGTTAAAACATCCTAATAATGGATTTGTTTATTACAAACATGCAGCTTTTCACTTCACAGGATGTTAATTGATGGACTGGAGTCGTGTGGATTACTTGTGGATTATTGTGATGTTTTTACCAGCTCTCATTCTGACGGCACCCATTCACTGCAGAGGATCCATTGGTGAGCAAGTGATGTAATGCAAAATTTCTCTAAATCTGTTCAGATTAAGAAACAAACTCATCATCTTGGATGGCCTGAGGGTACAATTTCAAATGTTCATTTTTGGAATAACTATTCCTTTTAGAAAATAAACAGGGTCAACAATGTAACAATGTCTGCTTTCTTGTTGTGTTTAACTGCAGCATGAGTGCTGATCACAACATGAGCTCCCTTGTTTTTGTTGGTAAAGGCCCTCTTTTTGACATCAGGATCTTCTTACACAACCCTGTTCTCAATCACAATTATTAATGACCAGCAGAGAGTCAGGAGCTGTCAACATATGTGCTGTTTGGAAATGTGCATGCAATACAGAATGAAAACTTGAGTTTTCCCAACACAAATAATGGGTAACACTAAATAATTCAAAGAAAAGCAGAGATTTCCAAACCTGAAACATGTTTAAGGACAAAGGCATGCACAAAAGCTAAACCAACCTGTTCAAATCTCACAGTTGTTTGAGTTGGTTTTTAAAATGCCAGCCATCATTATTCTTTTTTAAATCATGGAACCTGAAGATCAGAACAGCACAGGCTGTGGTGATAGACTATGCGAACTCAAGACTCGCTCTCACCTTTTATTTTCACTTTCTTGCGTCACTTAATTTACAGCCACCTCTCACACACAGTTACACAAACAAGACAGGTATCTCTCAACTGCAAACACACACTGAAACACTTGAACAGGAGGAGCAGCCAAAAAAAGTAAATCACCCAAAAGCATCCTAGACAGCTCATTATAGAGTCGGAGTAGTTCTTCATGAAACACAAGACTAGTTAAAGTGTGCACAATTTTAAGGTAATAGTAAATTAAATTAATAAACAAACATGTTTAATGAGGTTAGAACACCCCAAGCCTTTTTTAATAAAGGTAAGATTTTTATTTATTTATTTAAAAAAAATTTTTTAAAAATAATTTCTTGTGACATGGGGCTCAGTTTAGTGTTGTAATTATTGGTTTAAGTAACAAACTATGCAGTTGTAAACATGTTTTGTCAATAAAAATCATCACAAATGAAAATGTCTATAGGTCTGTAAATAAATTTACCATGTTAAAGTAATAAGCATTCGCCAAGCCACATTCATAAGCACATTCCCTCACAATATGAACATCCCAGCAGATGCAAAGCTGCCCCAACAATTAGACAAAACAAGAGAGTTTAATAAAAATGATCCACCAATCAGTTTTGTCTGTGTTGCTCTACACATCAATAAGAGCGAGTTTTATGATTAATGTGCATGTAAAAACATAATAAATAGTATGCATTTCTGGACTTCAGGATTCAATCCCTGTATGGAAACTCAGATATATATTTCTAAATCACACACAAAGACAAATCCCAAAACAGATGGGGCACATCATTTCCACTGACTGCACAATTCTCAACTGAGAAGATATCCAAATCTCTAAATCTATACTATAATGTATTTTCATTTAATTGTAAATAACTTGCAAATTAATCTTAGGCCATTAGTATTTTCACCAAAAAAAAAAAAAAAGGTTTACGCCAGTTATTTTTATCTTTTGCTGTATAGACAGACTAAATCTAGAAAAACTGTGGTAACGTCTCCAAGATGCTTTTCTAGAAACCTACCTACAAAGCTACAGTAAGTACTGTGACAAGTTTTAACCACTTGTGTAAAAATGCTGTAAAGTGAGGATGCTTTCAAAAATAATGTCATAAATAGATTTTATTTATCAATTAACTTCTATTAACCAAATCAAATCAACATTTGGTGTGACCACCCTTTGCTTTTAAAACAGCTTTTGTCCTACGTAAACTTGCGCATAGTTTTTCAGGAAGGTTTCTTCAAGTGTCTTGGAGACGTTGCCACAGTTCTTCTGGATTTATTTGTCTCAGTTTTTTCTGTTTCTTCATGTAATCTAAAATGGACTGGATGATGGTGAGCTCAGAACTCTGTGTGGAGCACTGGCTGTTGTCAGACTGGTTGTGCATACAGAAATCTCACTGGATTATTACAACGTATGGCAAAAGGAATGTTTCTAAATGTAAACTGATATTTCCTACTGACACACTACAGCAAAAGATAGAAATAATTAATAACCTTTTTTTTTTTGGTGAAAATACTAATGTTCTAAGACTTCTGCACAATAGTGTGTGTGTGTGTGTGTGTGTATATACATAGATGTACTAACCAACTCTTAGCCATTCAGTGAAAGTGAATGCACTTTGATTGTATGGAAAAGAGCAGCTTGGATCTCCTTTTGTGTTTGATGATAGAAAGAAAGTCACACAAGTTTGGAAGCACATGAGGATGAATAAACAGTGACAGAATCTTAATTTATAGGTGAACTATCTTTTTAAAATAACACACAGATGTCATGTGATGTGTTCCTCTCATTCCTTTCCTCTGTCCCCCTGTGAGTATGATGTAAGTAAAGATTTTGGTTATTATCTGACCAATGAACACACATTTTGGATATGTTTTGCCTCCACATCCATTCCTGTTAATTTTCTTCTCCAAAAAGAGGGATCCACCTGAGCCTGGTAATGGTAGATTGCCGGTCTAAAATAGTTAATAATTTGATTTTTTTTTTTTCCCCACAGAGCCAAACAATTTTCTCTGTCTTCCTCCGCTCACTGCTGGATGTAATAAGATGCTGGCATAGCGCGTTGGCATGAGTTCCTCATTTCCTTATTTTAAAGCATGTCAACAATGGCACATCGAGTTATTCAGCTGCACTCTTATTATTAACAATGCAATGCAAACAGAAGAGTACTGTGAATGTAAAACTCAAGCACCCCGTCATTAAGTTCATTATGGACGTCAACATCATTTAAATTCAAGCACGTATACTTACATCCACTGTCCTCGGTTCTTCTAAAACACTACAGGAACACGCTGGCCATCCCCAAGGGATGGATGCCAGGCACAGCATGCATAAGTAATACCCTGTTTTCTGAATCTCCACACAGAACAATTACTCTCTCCAGGAGAGTTCTGTGTCATTAAAATTGAAATGTGTTTATTTTTAAATGCATTCAAATTCATCTTCCCTCTTGCCACTTAAACTGTCAGGTATAGTGTTATGGGCACTGCAGAGTGAAAAGGTGAAAAAATACCTACATTCTTCATGGTTAAATAACGATACAGAGAGGCACCTCAATAATGAATGTTTATTCATTAACACTTCAAAAAATCCCAGAGTTTTACATTTGGAACCACCAAATTAATTCAGTGAATTGTCATGCGTCTTAATGAGCTTCGTGATAAATCATTCAAAACAGTCAGCGGTGACCCTGGTGTGAATTAATAACAGACTGGAACCTGCAGTGATCCCCAACATGTGTTTGTGTAACCAAACTAATACATAATTTCGCTGTTTTTACAGTCGTAATTTGAAGCTGACTGAAACACGGGGGGAAAAAAGAAATCAAAATTTTAATAAACTCTAATATGATAATGACCTACAACTCAGGAGCACATGGGCTCCAGCATAGTCTGATTCTCCATCTGTCTTTCTCACACATCCAGATAAACACACACACACTCTCACACTCCTCTGTTCTATTTCCATATCAAACAGGACTTGTTTTGCTCCAAAATTCCATGTTTACTTGCCTCCACTTGCAGGTGGTGTGTCAGTCAGATGAAAATGAAGAGACAGGCAGTGTGTGTGTGTGTGTGTGTGTGTGTGTGAGTGTGTGTTGGTAGGGGCTTTATCTTAATATTTGTCTAAATCAGACATCCAGAAGTAGTTTTGCTGGCGCAAAAACAACATCAGAGTTAGCTTGGTTACAATTTGGGGAACAACGGATTTTCGTGTTATAGTGCAACATGGTTTCATCAAGATGGAGAGAAAAAAAAACATACCTGTGATTTCCAAATATATTTAAAGGCATATAAAATCAACAATGTCTCATTCTTGTATCTTTCAACACCTGTATGACTTTTTTCTTCTTCTGTGAAGCACAGATGATGATATTTATATATATAAATATACTATACTACTGTTTATGCTCAACCAAAAATAAAACTGTATAAACAAAAATAAAACTGTAAAAACAGTATTATTGTGAAATATTATTACAATTTATAATAAACATTTTCTATCTGAATATATTTTAAAATCTAATTTATTCCTGTGATGGCAAAGCTCAATTTTGAGCATCATTACTCCAGTCTTCAGTGTCACATAATCCTTCAGAAATCATTCTAATATGCTGATTTGCTGCTCAAGAAACGTTTATTATTATTTTCAATTTTAAAAATAGTTGCTGCTTAATATTTTTGTGGAAATAGATAGTGATACTTTTCAGGATTCTTGACGAATAAAGTTCAAAATAACTAGAAATATTTAGGTTTTGTGAAGCCAGTGCCTTGCATCATTTAAACACTTCTCACAGTCTTAGTTCACGGTTCACATGTTTCTGCTCGAGCGTGCATTTTTGTTGACATTTGCAGGTCTGATTTTAAAATATGCTCGCATGAAATTATGAGTTGTCATCACATGTACACAGAAGTGTTGCTTTACCGTGTGACCTAAGCAGGGAAGAAGAGCCAAGATGTACTTTAGATGCTATTCCATATGACAGGCACAGTTAGCAGTGAATAAATAGAAGAAAACTGATGAATTTACAGTCCAAACAAGCATCAATGCTGGGACATTCAGCCCAAAACATCTGGCGATGAAGCTCTGACATATGTGTGGTCTCTGTCAAACCGCTAACTATATTTCTAAGATATTCTACTATATTCTCCATAGACCAGGCCTTACAACTCACCTTGGTGGTTTTGATTTTGTTCCCAGAACTGCAGGACCAGCCGGTGAGGTCAGGCAACACTTTACACTCTTCACCATTTAAGCATGGCTCCATTTGACACCACCACTTCATCCGCACGATAGACGCTGAAAGGGAATGAAAAGAAAACCAAGTGAAAGACAGGAACAACATACAGTACCAACAAGAAATTATATATAGAATTTTCTTACATTTTTTGTGGAAAAACATGCTAATTTTTTAGGACACTTTGATAAACAGAATAAAAGTATAATTTTTTATTAATTTTTTAAATCTTACTGACTCTAAACTTTTGAAAAGTACAATTTTGTAAGTACATTTTTAAAATTCTTTTATTCAGCAAAGACAAATTAAACTGATCAAAAATAAAAGCAACAATGACTGACCTTGTTATCCTGTTTAATATATCGCTACACATTTATTACAAAGTGAATAAATACAACAAGGATATAAAATACTGATTTAGTTTAAATTATTTACTTATGTGAGAAGAAAGAGAAAGCAGAATGATACAAGAGACATAAAACTAGCATGCTTTTTGCCAGAGACAATAGTCCAGAGTTCAGAGTTAGAGTTTATATAAAACTGCATTTTGCATATGTTTTCCACAACAGACCAATGGGAATCTAGTATTCCAGGGATCAGCATAAGAAGACCGTATAAAATCACAAATAACTGAATTGGACTGAAAACACATCGTGAAATATTGAGTTCTGTTAAATTTTCTCAAGTTTCCACCTGCTCAAAGGCATACAAAAAAATGACCATGATATCACACCCACATAAACTCACTGCCCACCTCTCAGACACACATAAACCCACACAGAAAGAAGAACGTGCATGCTAGAGCTACACAAAAAGACACTAGCCATGGCTGATTAATGCTCCATGCTGACAAAACCACATGACAGACCAGTATATGTTGGATTTTGGACACGGACACAGCATGGGTCCCTTAACCTGCAAGACTTGCGCTGGCCAACCAGCTTCATCAGAAAGACAACGCTGGTCATGCTAGTCTTTTCAGCAGGATATTCAGGGACAGATCCAAATAAAGTCAGCAGCGACTTTTGTAAAATGGTCATATCCTGCTTAACACAATACATGTGCACCCCAGGCACAGTAATGCTATTGAAGATATGAGAAAATGTATGAAAGTGAATGTGGTATTACATCTGGATTTTTCTTTCAAAACTTTTTTCTTGACATTTTTTCTAAGAATGAATTATGAAGACTTTGAATCGAATTCTGCATGATTCTGCATTATCATTTAGAGTAGAGGAGTTTTTCCTAAATCCAAATACTAGAGAATCATCACTGAACTGGCAAAAAAGGCATTATATAGGGTATATTATTGAGGAATATAATTCATATTAATACATTTTATTAATAAAAAATACCATATCAGCCATCGGCCAACTTTGGACATTTACAGATACAGGTGCATCTCAATAAATTAGAATGTCGTGGAAAAGTTAATTTATTTCAGTAATTCAACTCAAATTGTGAAACTCGTGTATTAAATAAATTCAGGCTACAGTTGTCGTATTCCTCTTGTTAAGCCACTCCTGAACCACAGACAACGTCAGAGGCGTCTTACCTGGGCTAAGGAGAAGAAGAACTGGACTGTTGCCCAGTGGTCCAAAGTCCTTTTTTCAGATGAGAGCAAGTTTTGTATTTCATTTGGAAACCAAGGTCCTAGAGTCTGGAGGAAGGGTGGAGAAGCTCATAGCCCAAGTTGCTTGAAGTCCAGTGTTAAGTTTCCACAGTCTGTGATGATTTGGGGTGCAATGTCATCTGCTGGTGTTGGTCCATTGTGTTTTTTGAAAACCAACGTCACTGCACCCGTTTACCAATAAATTTTGGAGCACTTCATGCTTCCTTCTGCTGATCAGCTTTTTGAAGATGCTGATTTCATTTTCCAGCAGGATTTGGCACCTGCCCACACTGCCAAAAGCATCAAAAGTTGGTTAAATGACCATGGTGTTGGTGTGCTTGACTGGCCAGCAAACTCACCAGACCTGAACCCCATAGAGAATCTATGGGGTATTGTCAAGAGGAAAATGAGAAACAAGAGACCAAAAAATGCAGATGAGCTGAAGGCCACTGTCAAAGAAACCTGGGCTTCCATACCACCTCAGCAGTGCCACAAACTGATCCCCTCCATGCCACGCCGAATTGAGGCGGTAATTAAAGCAAAAGGAGCCCCTACCATGTATTGAGTACATGTACAGTAAATGAGCATACTTTCCAGAAGGCCAACAATTCATTAAAAATGTTTTTTTTTATTGGTCTTATGGAGTATTCTAATTTGTTGAGATAGTGAGTTGGTGGGTTTTTGTTAAATGTGAGCCAAAATCATCACAATTAAAAGAACCAAAGACTTAAACTACTTCAGTCTGTGTGCATTGAATTTATTTAATACACGAGTTTCACAATTTGAGTTGAATTACTGAAATAAATGAACTTTTCCACGACATTCTAATTTATTGAGATGCACCTGTATATTGATATCCAATTGTAAAAGCTCATCATCTAATAGGTACTTAACAACAGTAATAATTTAACAGCATTGTTAAAGGTAATCTTTTTCAAAGCTCAAACTCCATTTTTCATACTTTATAATGTTGTGATGCCTAAATTCATTTTTAGTGTTTTATTTTTCACTCATTTATAAAATACTATAGAACTTTAATACTGACAATGTATTGGTTAATTAATTATTTGTTTATTGTATCCGCCAGAATTTTAATATTGGTGCATTCCTAAAAAAATCCCTTCCTGCAGAAAACGTAAAACAGAAGATACCTTCAGCAAGTAAATACCCAAAAATATCTCTTTATTGAAAAGTCAGCAAACTGGCAGAGCAGGATTAGATTCACACCTCGAAGCCTGGGCTAAATTTAAGTAGAGTGACAGCTTTGAGAAAGCCACCGTTTTATTTTGCTGGAGTTTAAAATCAAATGGAAGTCCAACCTGTTTCTGAAACAAAAATGGAGCCAACAGGAGTTTGCAAACCATCAAATGCAGCCGGGTTATTAATATTAACTAAAACTAGAACTGAAACTAAACCTATAAAAAACACTTTCATTACTCAAATTTTAATGAAAAATATAATAAAAACTGTATAGACATATTTAAAGAAAAAACTAATAAAACAACAAAATGCAGCAACAAAATCATACTAAAATGCAGCTTATGCTGTCATACAAGTAATTTTTAGTTTGCAACATGACAGTGATTATGGACTGTATTGACACCTCTCGACAGGGCCGTTTCTAGTAGGGATGCACCGATACCACTTTTTCCAGTACTCGCCCGATACCGATACTTTTATTTTTGGTACTTGCCGATACCGAGTACCGATACCAATATTTTTATTGCATTTGTAAATGTTTTAAATATTGGGTACAGAAACCAAAAGAGTATGTATAATGTTAGCTGGTTAACTTCATTTATCAAATAGATACAGTCAAACCAAAATCTATT